TCCTCACCCAACCGCCGCGGAGCCCCCGCCGCCGCCCCGGAAGCGCTCGGGTACCGCTAGGGGCCGCTCCGCGCCGCTCGGAGGACCGCGACTCGATGGTGTTAACCCCCTCCGCGCCGCCTTGCCCCGAAGGGGGGGGGAGGGCTGCATTATATTTGGGGGGGGGCGGTTTTGCCCATTTCGGCAGGCTTTTACCCCATTTGGGGCCTCACCCCTTTGCCTCCCAAGGGCTACGGGGGGCCCGAGGGGCAGAGTTGAGGGGACGGGGGGGTCTCCAGGTCCCAGAGGCTGCAGGGGGGCGTCCAGAGCCGAATTTGGGGTCTGGAACTGGAGCAGGGGGTCCTGAGCTGAATTCGAGGGGTCCCCGAGGTGACTCGGGTCCCCACTGGCAGGTGACAAGGCCGGGGTGCTGGCGGTGGCTTGCCGGGGTCCCCGCGGTGACGGGCAGAGTTAAGGGGATTCCCGATGTCCACACTTTGGGGTCCTCTGGGGCTCCTGGCGGTGAATTCGGTGACACCCGGCGCCCGTTTCGGTGTCCCCAAGGGCTACTTGTGTCCCCGCTGGCAGGTGACGAGGCCGGAGCGCTGGCGGCGGTGCCCTGAGGTCCCCGCGGTGACGGGCAGAGTTAAGGGGATTCCCGATGTCTACACTTTGGGGTCCTCTGGGGCTCCTGGCGGTGAATTCGGTGACACCCGGCGCCCGTTTCGGTGTCCCCAAGGGCTACTTGTGTCCCCGCTGGTGGGTGACGAGGCCAGAGCGCTGGCGGAAGCGCTTGCCGCAGCGCGGGCAGGGGAAGGGCTTCTCGCCGGTGTGGATGCGGCGGTGAGCGGCCAGGTGGGAAGCGACGGCGAAGGCTTTGCCGCAGTCGGCGCAGGCGTGGGGCCTCTCGCCGGTGTGACCGCGCCGGTGCAGCGCCAGCGCCGAGCTCTGGCTGAAGCGTTTGCCGCAGTGGGTGCAGGCGAAGGGGCGTTCGCCGGTGTGCACCCGCCGGTGCTGCGCCAGGTGCGAGGGCACGGCGAAGGCTTTGCCGCAGTCGGCGCAGGCGTGGGGCCGCTCGCCGGTGTGCAGGCGTCGGTGCAGGCCCAGCGCCGAGCTTTGGCTGAAGCGTTTGCCGCAGTGGGCGCAGGCGAAGGGGCGTTCGCCGGTGTGCACCCGCCGGCGCACCGCCAGGTGCGAGGGCACGGCGAACGCTTTGCCGCAGGCGGCGCGCGGGGC